AAACCTTTTACCCATTTCAATCAGCGCTGCCCGAGCATCGTTTGGTCACTTGTAGCTGAGAAAGGTTGGACGGCAGGTAATTCTAATGCAGTTGCCATCTCGTCGGCCTGATCCTTGTGATCACAGTGTGGCGTGAAGTCCGAGCATCCTCGTCGCCAAATTTAGTGTTACACACCATGGAATAAGCAGTAAAACACACTTCATTGACATTGCAGTTAATTTTATTATAAAATTCTCCCAACCTTATACACAGCAATCATGTGCTTCTAGATCATCAGATTATGTCAATCAAACTCTTATATTACATAACAGTAATTGGCACAAACACTAAAGACCTTAAACAAGCATATTTTTGTTTGGCACTCCGAATAAAAGTAAACATTTATATCAAAATTTGATAAGCCCTTGATTTGTAGAAAAAAAAGGAGGAGGAAGGAAAAAACAATAACATTAAGACAAGTCTGATATAATTTTGTGATTCAGCTTTTGTTGTTTCCACTCCATTTTTTTGGAATTTGATGAAAGGTGTAATGTGCCTTCTGTTTACAATAAGACGGTCTCGAGTGATCTAGCTCTCATACCTGCTATCTTTCATGCTTCCCTCATTGCTGGTACTAATATCATTTTTCTGATTTTTTGTACAGCCAGAGGCAGGTCCTCGGCAAGGCTAGAACAACTGCCTTTTAGGTTTTATCTTTGTTGCCAAACCAGGTCTCAATCTTCTCGATAAGTGAAATGAGCAATGACCGGTCTGGGCCTTCCACTACTTTGTTTAGACGGTGCACGCTACAGAATTGCATTGAATTGACTAAATCCTCACTAATCTTCAAAGCAGACAACATCACATTTTTGACTTGAGTTGTACAGTTCTCTCTCTTACTTATTGAATTTGAAGTCATGATAAGATAACGATAATTAATGTCAATTATTTACATTTATTCTGTATCTCCTTCTGCATGGTCATCAAATTCCACACGATTTCGTTCTGCTTCCAATCCCCCCTCAGTGTGAGCTAAATGCTGTAGATGACATTGGCTTTGCCTCACTGGATGCAGATGTGAAAGTTCCCTGTTAGAAGTCAGGACCTGACCATCTACATTTCTCATCACTCTCCTTCTATGTTGCATAGCTGTGAGTTCCACCTTGTGGACGTCTGTTTGTTGATCACCATCATCATTACTGTCTGAATCCACACCTCTTTCCTCAACACATGACTCCACTAAATTCAGCTCTTGCCTAAGAGCATCAGACATCATCCAGTTTGTTGCAATACTCATTTGTTAATGTGTACACTACATGTCCATTTTGCCAATCTGAATTCAGTTCCTTCACTGGCACAACAACTGGAATTTGTTGTCCTTGATAATGCTACCAAAGTAGACCTTCACTGAATCTGGTAGAAGAGTTAAATGATTTGCAGAGGTAGACTCATCATATGTGTGTTCATTGAGCCAAAATCCAAAATCTCTATTCAAATATCCAAAATCTCTATTCAATGCATGTGGCTTGTTGACCTGGAGAAGCCACTATTTATCAGCACTGGGGATTTCATTATCTGTCCCTGGGTTCACTGCTACAATATCCCCAGGAACAAATAAATAATCAGTGGATGGGACACGGCCAATCTCTGTGGTGTTTTCTCCTCTCCTAATTTCAAGTGCTCTCACCAGTTCATCAAATGCCGGGAAGCAAAGTTGACACCCATCTAAACCTCCTTGCAAGAGCATATCTTTTTGAGTGGTCACACAAGGGCCATACCCACATTTGTACCTACACAAGTCCCTGATGTTCTGGGATGGTCTGGCTTTCGTCAAGACATTAAGCATTCTTGCCACCTTTGGGTCCTCTTCTGTTTGCTCATTGGTCACCAGCTGCTGTTGAGGACAAAACTGTTTGCTCCATTGCTGGTACTGTGTAACAGTTTTCACAGAAGACAATCTGGAATTGTGGTTGGGCTGGTAAGCACTGAATGTGTTAGTGTGATAGGCATGTGGGCACTGACAAGTTCCACTTCATGGTGACCTTTGCTGTGCACATACTGTTGAACAGTAGGATGTCTGTTCTGACCTTTTGGTTTGTGTTTTGCAAACCCATGCTCCTTAGGGGATTCATTCACAAAGGCATAGAGGTTTAAATAATTTAAAACATGATTCTCTTCTAACAACTCAAGTGATTGGATATGAGCTTCTAAACCCTTCACAGTCTCTGCAAAGCCTTGAACTGAGGCATGGTACACAGTCCCCTCAGGGCCAGCTGTTGCCATTTTGAGATGCTCTCTCCGCTGGGCTACCAAGCTCTCTAAGTAAGCTAATGAATCTATGAGCTTGTTGGTGCCTTCCACAAATGGGGATGTGGGATTCTTTCCAAGCTGAGCCAAATGGTTTTCTTCCTTTTTGGGGAGAAACCCAATCACGTGGTAAATTTCTCTTACCTTGGCCATAAAGTTACATGCAAAGTTCACAGCAGTGCAAATCTTAATGCAGCCATTTTGGCTTCCACCAAAGCAAGGAAAATGGCACTGCCAAAGTCAAAGCACAGTCCTGTGGGCTCTGAAAGTTGTGCTTTGGCAGCAGGACCATCGGAGCAACCAATAGTTCCATTTCCAACTGTGAGCTTAACCTTGTAGGTTCCATTTAGGTCTTTTTGAAGAAATTTTGTGTACTTGGACATCAGTCACACCAAGATCCCCATTTGATGACAAATCTACGTCCAAAGCTTGCTTAAAACCATTGGCAATGACTCCAACAGATTTGCTTTCTAATTCAATTTGTTTAATGGTGTGGCCATCAGCAACACAGACAGTTCCTTCCGTTTTGGGCAGGCAAAGGCCACATGGAGATTGCAAGTTATCAACTACTTCGATAAGCTAACCTGCATTGAAGGTTGATTCCATACGTACCAAGTAACGGGTGGTTCCTTCTGTGACTGCAATTGTGTCAGTGCCAACAACTGCTAACCCTTCAAGTTTCCAGTTGGTAGGAACAGGCTGTAATTTTAAAGTACTGACAAATTTATCTGTTTGAAAAGAGTGAACACCCCTTAATAAAGCAAATAAAGGAATTTCCTTTGTTACTAACAAATGCAATTTCATTTTTTCCAGGCTCATAAGGGCATCAATGCCAGCTAGGTGCCTAAATGATGCTTTAGAGGCTAACATAGGGCTCTAATGTGCTGGACCTAAAAAGCAAAATGAAGAAAGTTATTACCTTTTTTTGGGGGGGGGGGAGGGTACCATATGGCTTGGGGTTTATTATAAAACAAGAGGCTGGATATCAACCTAACTTGGACTGTTTGTTTTCCAGCATCAAAACATTAGTTCCTGATATGGAAATAACCTTGTATAAATTAAGGTGTAAAATTCAGTAAAATTCGACAACGAATGGGTTGAATCCAATGAAAAGATACTATTACATGTATGGTCACATGAATGCACTGTAAATCCCAAAACAGAATAGGCATTAAATGTAATCTAAATAGGGATTAGGCATTCTCCAATTCTGACAGAGAATGGGACTGATTTCAAGATTATATCACTGTTTTGAGTCTTGAAAAAATAATTACAGTCATTTTACAAGTCCACTACAATTGTTGTCTCCAGCCTGTATAGGTATTTATAATAGCTTGGTCATTATAATTACCATACAGATAGGATGCTCATATTGATTACATCACAGAAAAATAAGCCTAGGGTAAATGTAAATACAATGTAAGAAGTACTGGTGAATTTACTTGTGACTCCCAACATCACCCATTATAAAATGAATAGAGTACAGCTTTTAGCTATACTGTACAGTATATACAGCATATAGGAAGATGAAATTATACTAGGTACCTGGCTGATCCCATGCTCTCAATGCAGTGCATTTGGTTGGAATATGTCTGTTGCCCATATCAACAAATTCATATTCAGCATCTGCAAAAAAATTCAAAAAGTTTCAACATCAACTTTAAGCAAGCATTTGAAACTCAGTGTTCCAAATAGGGGGAGGTCTAACGTCAAAAAAGCAACAAGGTCAGCTTCTTTACGCCCAAAAAAGAAAAAAAAATGTTGACTAATATAATTAGTTAGTTAAAACACATGTGTAATGACCTGTTGATATTCCTTGTGGACATTTTACCTTCAGAACTCAACTGTAACCCTACATGGAGAAACTTTCCGAAATACATTACACACCTATGAATTTTTAAAGGAGGAGATACCATGACTAAGCACATAAGCGCAGATACATGTACACTTCTAGCTAAATCTTTTGTTACTACTCTCCAGCAGCATTTATTAATAATTACTGGCTTTTTTCAGAAGCATGGTGTAAATAAACCAGTAGAAAAAAATAACAACAATGCAGCAAACAAACAAAAACAGAAGAGCAATTATTTTAAAACCCTACCAGTCCAAAGAAGTTTCCATTTGCATTCCTGATAGCATAGAGGGGCCAGCCAAGGATGCTGTGACTCTTTACTTCAGTAGCAGTGGGTTTGTATTGCTCAGGAATCAGTGTCGTGACAATCGCTACACATTCCTTGATGATATCTTCCAGCAGCTTGGAGACAGTTTGGTAACATATCTCATCACTGTGAGCATCTCTGAATGCAAAGACACTGGCTGGAGCAACAGATTTCATTTTCCTTACTGCAGTTGTGTGTGATGCCCAGGCGTATGATAAAAGTGCCACAAAAAATGTATCATGCATGTCTTTAAGTCTGGAATGACGCAAAGAAGAAATACAATTTTTACAGAAATAGAGTAGTCCAAAACCAAAAAAATCTGCAGCTTGGGTCCTTAATGTCATTAGAGGCAACTTGATTCAATTTGTGTGGGCCTTGCATTAGGAAGCGACCTGATCTGAAGAAACATGTATGCATTTTGCACTAATGCATGGCTCTTTTTCGAAGTCAAGTGTCTTACATCTTGTACAAACCTCCATCGAAGAGGAGAATTTGCAGTTCTTTGCATTCCCAGACAAAATACAATTAGTACATGCCTCCACATATTCAAGCACTTCACACAATTTTCTTTTTACATTGTCAGCATCACCACCAGATGAAGATACCTTTGTGAAAATATTGACATGAACTTTTCCAGAGGTATCAAAGGCATCAAACTCTTTCACTTCACTTATCCAGGAACAGTTATCTGCAATGAACTTGTGCACAGCAGTATTACCACCTTGCTTAAGTTCTCTCATTGTTTCCAGCTTAATTGAGGGAACAATGCCATCAGAGAGAGTTTCGCCATTTTCTTGACTGGGAAAGGTTCCAATGTTCAAAGGCATCCCATCATAATGAGTCACAACCAAATACTTCTTTAATCCATGAGCTGTAATGCATGGCATGCCATCGAGAGTATCTAAAAGCGTTAACAGTGACATCAAATTACTCAGATGTGGACCAGAATTGTATACCAGTGCTAGTACTCGTGAATCCAGAGTGGATAGTGATGGTCCAGGGTTGTAGTAGGAATGTATTTGTGCCATTATGTCTCTGTGCTCTTTGAGACCAAAGTGTTTATCACCAAGGTAGAAAATGTATCCTTTTCTTGATGCTACTTCAGCAAGAGATTCACAGAAGCTAAACAGAGTTGGCCAATGTTGCCAGTTTGTGACTGGATTGGGCTGTGTTAACTGTTCATAAAGTCATAAAGGCATCAATGTTCTGAAACATCAAGTGTTGTCTGGTGATAACACCAGAACTGATGAATTTATTTAGCCAGTAGGCTAAGAAATCTCCTTCAAATTCTGTCACTCACATTTCTTAAGGGCACTCACATTGTAGCGGGTTTCGATTCCTAAATACATAACGGATTTGTGGAGGCAGAGACGTACTGATTCCAAGCACTCATCTTAATTTTGAACTGATGATCTTTATTGATAATCTTGTGGAGCACTTGAAAACGTAAGAACTGAAAGGTCAATTTGCGAAATAAATACAATTACAAACAATTTGGAAACTATACATTACATGTGTTATTATGCAATCACTCGTATACAAAGCGTACACAAAAGTACTATTTTAGCATGAATTAAATCAAACGAAAACCGTGATAACAAACTAATTGATGTATTCTAAAAGCATGCAAATCACAATAGTGAAATTCGTATCTCTTTTCTCCGGTATTATCCTTATTTGTCCTTTTGATAAAATCTCTTCAGGCTTACAATGGTCTTTCTCATCCCTGCACAATTAGGAATGTCTCTTGTTTCATTGCCCTAAAACTAACTTTGCTTGAAACGGAAATTACGTAACAATCGGTAAAAGAAGTTATAGTTAATCATTACACCCATGAAATCATATTTCATTGACAAAATTTCATCCCAAATGATTTTTCACATGTGCATTTAATAGGAATTCAGTTAATAGATGTTGGACAAATCTTATTCTTTGACAAGTTCTAGTTGGTATGTACAGTACACAAATGTAACGTTTGATGTTCTTGCAAGAGGCAGGTAAAGATCACGCTGCCTAACATTAGATGCTAGGTGTTACAATCAAGCTTGATGTTGTTTAGAAGAAATTTTGCAATGTCGTTGTGCGATCATGATACAGCATTGATTGTATAATCTTTTTTATAATTCCACCTCTTTGTTAAAGAGAAAGAAAATAATTGGCCTATGGTGGACTGTTTATCAACACCAGAACTTGTCAAAATCAAACTTGTGAACTTGCTTGAACAAATTTGCTACTTTAGATTCACCAAAATAACTATCCTTTTTAAATTGTATACAGGAAATTTTGGCCTTTTGGGGTGCGATGCTATCCTGCAGGAACAAAAATGACAAAATTAAATTAGGTATGTCCTAAAATCATAAATTAAATGCCAAATCATGTCGCATCATTCAAAAGCAAAAAGACAATTAATTTATCAACGGAAAACAAAATGGCTACATGAATTCTTGTGTCTTTGTAAATATAGGCAGTTATATTGTTCTTGTAGAAAAAAAGAAAGGCTCTTTATGGCAGCATGATGCCTTACGAATTAACAAATTTTGGTGTAGCATACGGACTCCTAAAAATGATTCCAGATAAAGAACGGAACAATTTGCATTAATGTACTTAAAAATATGGGGGGCACAGTGGCCTCATGGCTTGTGTGCTTGTCTCCGAATCGAGTGGTCCAGGTTCGAGCCCTAGCTGGGGACAAATTTGTTGTGTTCTTGGGCGGAACACTTTACTCTCACAGTGCCTCTCTCC